TCTATACCATCTGTCATAGAAGATTTAAGCTGGATCTATCAAAAACCCTTTTCATTACATAAAGGGGAAAGCTCTTAAAAGACGTTTTGCTAACTTGTGCTTCTCTTTTACACACCCAGTTACAAAAATAATGTCTAAACCTTCAGTCCTCCTTCAGGTCAGGTTGAAAATATCGGTCTCCCCAAGACAAACATATGTCCCTGCAGTCTTAACCATTCAAATCTCCACCCCCCCAAAAAAACCTCTTTATCCAGTGACAGCCCTTGGTTAAAAACAGAAAACATCCTTTGCTGCTTGTTGGCCGGAGCAAACAAAATAAGCTAGAAAAGATGAAGTGGAGATGAACTCTTTCCAGGGCTCCTGAACAACTGGAAAGAGCAGCAGCTGGCAGATATCTATTTAAAGTCAGGATGGGAGAATCAAATCACAACCTCCTTTGGTTAAAAAAAACATTTTGTTCAACCTGGGCAAACCAGATTATTGCATGAGTGAATACACACTTTGCTACATCCTGCCTTCATGATGTGGGGTTTTTTTCCTTTCCTTCTCACCAATGCAGCACAATGGAGCGTAGCCAACCCCCTCCCTGCCCTTCAGTTAACCACCGCAGTTATTAATGTTTGAACCTGCACTTCTAGCTAAAGTCTTGCAGATGCAGAGGCAAAAAGTCTTTCAAAAACAGATTACAGTGTCTCTTAGGGAAGGCTGGATGGATCAGGTTGCAATTTTTGTCATCGGGATAAGGACAGTAATCCTGCAATACGACATCAGAATAAGGCTGTAATAATACACCCCACCCCCACCCCCACCCTAACCCACTTACAGAGGCATCAGCCCCATTGAAATACAATGGAAGTGGCTTTCCGAATAGAGAAGCCCAGAATGGAAGTAGGAAAAAAGCAGCCCATATATAGTTATGACACTTACAAATTTTTATTTTATTGATTTATGATGAAATTTATTTGCCGCTCCTCTCATATCCAACAACTACGCATATAGTGTGTGTGTAAGTCTGGATGGACAGATAGACAAAGAGAGCGAGATAGATAGATAGATAGATAGATAGATAGATAGATAGATAGAAAGATAGATACACATAGATAGAAAGATAGATAGATAGAGATGATTAATAGATAGATATAGATAGGTAGGTAGGTAGGTAGGTAGATAGATAGGATAGATATAAATGAGAGAGGAGGGATAGATAGATAGATAGATAGATAGAAAGATAGATAGAGATGATAGATAGATATAGATAGATAGAAAGAAAGATAGATACACATAGATAGAAAGATAGATAGAGATGATAGATAGATAGATAGATAGATAGATAGATAGATAGATAGATAGGTAGATAGATAGGATAGATATACATGAGAGAGGAGGGATAGATAGATAGATAGATATATAGAAAGATAGAGAGAGATGATATAGATAGATAGATAGATAGATAGATAGATAGATAGATAGATAGATAGATAGATAGGTAGGTAGATAGATAGGATAGATATAAATGAGAGAGGAGGGATAGATAGATAGATAGATAGATAGATAGATAGATAGATAGATAGATAGATAGATAGATAGATACACATAGATAGAAAGATAGATAGAGATGATAGATAGATATAGATAGATAGAAAGAAAGAAAGATACACATAGATAGAAAGATAGATAGATAGATGGATGGATAGATAGGACAGATAGAAAAATAGAGAAAGAAAGAACGAAAGAAAAAAAGAGAGAGAGGAGAGACAGATGACAGATAGATAATGGAGACTTAGAGGATACATAAATTATTAACTACTTTATAACTGTTATTGTTATTTTGGGAGGCATGACATACATAACTGAATTCATTACTAATATTCTATCTGTAACACAGTTATGCATATGCCATGCATAAACCAAGCAAGTGCACACACACACACGGTATATGCCTGCAAATGATTAATCATGAATATAAATCTCTCACCTCTATGCACATACACACCTATGGATTTGCACAATCATGCACTCTCCCCTCCTATCCCTCCCTGCAGTAATGCATTTGCATGCTCATGCACACCTGCCTCGACCCTCCCCTCCACCCCCCCACCCCCCAAATCCATCTCAGGGGTCCTTCCTGAGGGGAAGCAGTTTATAAATACTTTTAATACATAAATCCAACGTCTCCCCCCACCTCACACATACAACCCCTCCCCAGCCAGCCTCCTTTTAGAGTTTCTACCTCATGCAGCAGAACTCCTGCGCAATAGTTGGACCCTATTCGACCCACCCCCCCAAATCCCCGTCCAGCCTCTGTGACAATTAATTACTAATTATTAAGAGGGGGGGTGTTCCCGGTTGGCTGCCTGGAAATCCCCCTCCCCCCAAATAACTGCCTTCTTCGCGCGCTCTTCATTGGGCAGGCTCGTGACGCGCATCTCGGCTCCCGGGGCATTCACACGAGCGGGGGGGTTGACGCGTGTCTCCGCGTTACCCAGAAAACGGGCGCCGGAGGTTCCGTGACCGGCGGAGAGGAGGAGCAGCAGGAGCAGCAGCAGAGGAGCCTCGGCCATGGCCCCGCGCGGCGAAAGCGGCCGCCGGGACGCGGACGAAAGAGCGGAGCCGCTTCTCCTCAGATGCGCCTCAGCGGGGAAAGCCCGCCGGCTGCCGCTTAGCAGAGAAAACCCCGCCCCCGGGGGCGTGGCTAAGAAAGGGCGGGAAAGCCGCGAGGCCGCTCCCTCCCACAGCTGGGATTGGCCTACGACTCCCGGCATCCTCGCAGCTCCGCTCTCAGCTGAGGGGCTGATGGGAGTTGTAGGCTCCCCTCTCCGTGAGGGCCGAGTTTCAGCCAACCAGAAACTTTGCTCCATGCTGTCAAACGCGTTGGCCCACCTCACAGGGCTGTTGTGAGGAGCATGAAAGAAAGCTAGGACCATTAGGAGCTCGGTTACCCACAAAAAATAATTAAAAAAATAAACGAAATAAATAAAATTATATCTTAAATAAATGAAACCGTCTCCCAGATTTCCCTACTCGCATTTTTACATGCTTTCGAACTGCTAGGTTGGCGGAAGCTGGGACAAATAACGGGATTCGAACCGCCGAACCTTTCTGATCGACAAGCTCAGCATCTTAGCTGCTGAGCCGCCGTGTCCCTAAAAACAAATGAAATTAAAACTCTATCTCAAAATAAATAAAACCGCCACCCGGATTACTCTGAAGTTTTGTTTTTTTTGCTTTAACGTTGCTCCAGGCTGTCTAACGCAATGTTTCTCAACCTTGGCAACTTGAAGATGTCCGGACTTCAACTCCCAGAATTGCTGGCTGGGGAATTCTGGCAGTTGAAGTCCGGACATCTTCAAGTTGCCAAGG